CATCGACGTAGAGGACATGACCTTATGGACATACCATCGACGTAGAGGACATGACCTTGTGGACATACCATCGACGTAGAGGACATGACCTTATGGACATACCATCGACGTAAAGGACATGACCTTATGGACATACCATCGACGTAGAGGACATGACCTTATGGACATACCATCGACGTAAAGGACATGACCTTATGGACATACCAAGCAGTCATGCAACCGCTAGTACCCCCCCTCCCTTCTTTGGAAAAAAAATGTGCAGGGCCAGGTAAGGAGCCAAACCCGCTCCCATTATTTTGTTCTCCAACTACACTTAAAACACCTACGCATACAATTTTATTTTTGATGTATTAAGATCTTAAGAACTAATCATATAGAAGCTATTCAGTCTTTATTCTAGCTGCTTTGTTCCCGAATAGAAAGCCATCAAGTAATTCTAGAGTCAGGCAGGAAGCCAGGATTGTCTCCCTGTATTTCCACCTCCATCCTTGATACAATTTATCACATTATGTTTCTCTATGTTATATGTGTTGCCTTACTTGAATTTTCTGTATTTATGTTGATATTCTGATTTTTTAAAAAAAAGAGTGTAGTAGGTAATAAGTATAACTGAATAGAGTGAATGATACTTCTTCTTTTTAACAAAATAAAAATGTACATTATAATTATTGTCCCGCCCTTCTAATTATAGGCCTACATGCTCTATTTCAGAAAAATCCCAACCCCTACCTAAACCAGATCAACATTTTACACAGACAGCCTTTTTGTGTATTCCCTTTCTCCTTGGGGGTCATCCATAAATGACGTCACGCTTTTTTTGACGATTTTTACCTCCCCCCCCCTCCCCTCCGTCACACGTCGTCACAAAAAGCCAGACCCCCCTAAAATGACGTCACACCTCAACCTACAACCCCCCCCCCCTCAAAATTGCAGATGATTTTTTTTTAAAACATCGATATTTTTCCAAAATCTTGTCTAAACTATTATAATTTATTAAAAACAGTTATCTAAAACGCGAAATAACGTCTAAAATTCGTTTTCTAACATTGCTTTTTTATAATGCAAAAATGTGACGTCGTAACATCTGAACCCCCCCCCCCCCCTCCCTCTCATCACACATCGTCACAAAATTACGGACCCCCCCCCCCTCCCCCCTACGAGTGTGACGTCATTTATGGATGACCCCTTACCGCCCCACACTCTCCCCTAAAAACCCAATTTCGCTGTGTTTTCGTTTACTTTCAGGAAGAACAGTTTGCTCGAGTAAACGTAATTAAAACTCCCCAACATCCTTAACAATATGTATGTATATGTATATTTATGTACGAAAGACAATAGGATAGTTGTAAATTGTAAACCTACACCAGTCCTCACATGTCGAATGATGAACAAAGTAATGTAACAGCGGACACCCTTGTGACAACGTTGAGGATCGCTGATAAAGATTAGAAAACTGAGACATAATAAAGAGAGAAAGACAAAAATGACACTGTTTATTTAATGTCTTTTTCGCCCTCAGATGTAAACTATTATAATTATATCCTGATTATTATTCTACCAGTAGATAAAATGTACTGTTATCATTACTGGCCATAATGGAACGCACCAGCTACATTCGTATTGAATTTGTTATACTACGTCTATGTCTTTCATCTTTAATTATAAATATTAAAATAAAAATTAATTAATTAATTAATACATCATAAATATTTAGATAAATAGCTACCTTGTTGTTTCTCATAACAGTTACTTCCCATTCTTAAATTTCAAAAGAATAAGAAACATAATCCATATTTTGTTATTACTAAATTTTAAACTGTATTTTATAAATGATTGGAAACATGCGGATTGTTTTTTTTTCTATATTATTTAACTAGTTTGTGCACAACTTCTATGGTGTGTAGTATTTAATATTTCATATTATTTTAAATTATGATTATTTCACTTTTTTTTATAAAACTGTAACCTTTAAATACTGTAGTTTTTATTTTGTAGACCAGCAAAACCTTAGCTTAATCAATGTTGCGGTGGTGCATGAAGTGCTGGTATAATTTTTTTCGTGAACAAATCACTTCAGAAATAAATAAATAATTACATTATTTCATTTTCAAAACTAAAAAAGTATTATACTGTAGAGAAAAACAATATCATGTTGAAAATAATATGAACAACATATGTCATAAAGGAAAGTGAACTATTGCCAATAACAAAAGAACATAAATAAGCTCCCAAATTCAACTTCTACCAACATTAATACCATGCATGTGTTTTGAAGTCCTAGATGTAACCGTTCTAATTATTACATTTCTTTTTATCTGTAACATACTGTATTCATATGTATTGTCTTCGGAGACTATCGTGTGTGAATGCTGGACACCTGGCCAACTTAAGTGAATGCGTGAGCGATCAGTCATTATATTTATATTTCATGATTTTTGTATATCGCTTACTGACTGGAGTGAGAGAATATGGGCTGTATAGAAGTTTGCTGAATGTGGTGTTCGGGAGCGACCATAGACAGAGGCGTAGCGAGGGGGGGGCGGGGACATATGTCCCCGGGCGCCGACCTTAGGGGGGGGGCACCAAATTGAAAGTTTGGGGGGGGGGTGCAAATGAAAAGTTCGAGTGGGGGTGCAAATCGAAAGTTTGAGGGGGTGCAAATGAAAAGTTCGAGGGGGGGGGGGGGGTGCAAATCGAAAGTTTGTCCCCGGGCGCCGGGAAGGGTCGCTACGCCTCTGACCATAGACGAATACGTATCGTGATTATGCCGAAAACCGTGTGAATGATGGTGTGCTCAAATGTATTTTTTAAACTATAAGCTATAACGCTTGCCCACAGTTTTTTTCTGCCATATTATATTTCATTGTGTATATGATGGCGATACACTGTTCATTCATAGATATTCTTCTCCTGTAAACAAAGTTGTCAAAATATGAAAAAAATAATAATAGCACTCACACAAATGATGTGTTGTTGTAACATGTTTTAATTAAAAATAAAAACTAAGAATTGTAAATTTTTTCAAATTTTGAATAAGCCCGTGTTGAGTATTAAGTTTATATATATATATATATATATATATATATATATATATATATATATATATATATATATATATATATATATATATATATGGGTCCCAAAACATTTTTTTGCGGGGTGGCCCTTTTTTCTAGTTCCGCCACTGCTGTATCCGATGGGCGTGCATCATCAATGTCACATTTTTGTTTTATATAAAAAAAAAGTAAAACAAGTACTAAGTAAGGTTCCCTTTTCTAACCTGATTTTCTTCCATTCATCTCTTCGATCCCGCAAATTTCAAGTGCCCCCTACCCCGGAGAAAAAAAGTCTGGAAGAAACCCAGCTCGGCATGTGTTATATACTAGGCCTAATGGCCTATACTGATTATGCACAATCCTGTATGCCATCTAAAGTAATCAATTATCTTAAGTTTAGAGTTTATTTTCGTCCGCCGCCCGATTAGACTAAATAGAAAAATATATAGAAAATATCCTACTTTAACTAATTAACTAGAGTCCACTCCCCCGGGAGTCCACATCCTGCACGTTCGTGCCCGCATCCGGGATTGGTTGTCTCAAAGAAACCAACCCTGATTGGCAGCACTAGTTCCTATAAATAAACATGTACCATAAAATATATGTTTAAAAACACACTAATGCGTTTAGCTACTTTTTAAACTAGAGAGACATCAATTTTACAGTATAGGCAACCAAAGGGGAGTAAGTATCATAAACAGATCAGATCCTGAAATTGCTCATCTTGGTAAAAATAACCTAGTCATTCAAAGAAAAATATTATAGTCCGTAACAATTAGCTGGGGAGGGGGAGGTGTTTAAGATCTTAAATGAGTACTAGAACACAAAGAAAAGACAGGTATATTTGCATATTATTGTTGGCAATAAGGTAGAAACACCTAGAAACACCCCCGTGTCTGAATCCAAGATATCAAGAAATACTTTCAACATATTGACAGAATATTGTTTTTGATTTCAGCTTTTAAAAAATATGAAATGGTTTTGATCAGTGTTTCTTCCAGACTTTTTTCTCCGGGGGGGGGGGGGGGGGGGGGCACTTGAAATTTTCGGGGGGGGGGGGGGCGCGGTAGACTTTCTTCGGGGGGGGGGGGGGCACTGTTAAAATTATATATTTTCTATATAAATTACATACATTTTATTTCGTTCGGGTAGATTTTTTTTGCCCCCCCCCCCCCCCCCCCCCCCCGAAGAGATGCCTGGAAGAAACTCTGGTTTTGATTCAATTTTTTTTATGGTCTAATAACAAGTTTACCAGTACAAGTGGCGTGGGTAGGGTTTTTTATACCCCATCACCACACCCCCATGGATCCCCAAAAACTGAAATTATCTCACATTAAGATACAGCTATGGGCAATGGTCTGTTAGGGTCACTTCACTTTAACAATGCAAATAGCACAACTTTATGTTTTTAAACTTGTGGACATATAATTATTATAATATGTGTGCGTGTTGTGTATTTAAACCCCTCTCCCACATGGCTAAATCCTGGTCAGTGTTACTGTCCAGTAGACATTCAAAAGAGCAACAGTACATGTATTTTTAATTCTACCCAGCAAATTAAATACACTGCATAACAAAGCTAAGTAGAGGCCTTATAGTTTAGTTAGAGACTTAAAAACATGAGTCAACTTGATGCTATATGAAATAGGTTGGATGATTTTGATCTGACCATACATTACACCAGAAGACTCATTAATTAATATATAATTCTGGCTATGAGTATTAACTTTACCTTCTTAACGCTTAAAACATAATTATTCCCCTTTTGTAAAAATAATCACATGAAATTCAAAGAAAACAGTACTAAAGAATAAACAAACACTCAAACAATAAAAAAATATAAACATATATTGATTTAAAAAACTGTGTTTTAAACCTTTTTACGTCCATTAACAGTTGACAAACAGGAAATTAGTAAAAAAAATTATTTTACACAGGCAAGGGTTTAAGAAAAACTGCATGTTTTAATTAATTAACACATGATAAAATTTACATTATGAATAATGATTAAGACAACAATTTTAAACACAAAAAAAAAACATATTAATTACATAAACTGTAACATGTTAAAATCAATTACTTGAAATATGATATTTACATATTTACACAAGATTGCAAAATTATGTTTTTCCGTATCAGTGAGGTGTAAAATGTCGAGATTTGTAAAAATCTCTATTTTTTTTTTGCACGATTACAAGACTTTCTCTATACTTCGTATATACGAGAAAGTAACAAGACCCTTTAAATTGTTTAACAAAACTATTAGGCTGGACAATTTTAAGTTGCTTTGGTTTGAACAACCAGCCTTAGATTGTGTTAAACACCACATGACTCAAACAGTTACTGGTGATATTCAGAACATCCTAGCCAGTTAAAGGGGGTATTATATTTTTTTTAACTGGCTTGGTGTGTTATTCTTACTTCAACAATTACAAATTAGTAGACCAACATTATTTTTTCTTAAACTTAAATGTAATTTAATAATATTCATATTGATTGCCAATGACATTTTAAATTTTCATTAAAGACATATTTTTGTTTGCCTTGTCCTAAATGGAAATTAAGCATCAGGTCCATAAATATAACAAAATTAATGTTATGCTTTCGCACGGCTGCCTATGATTTAAAAAAAAAATCTTTTATGAGGACTAAAAAGCAAATCAAAATCTCATGAAGGGAAATTATAAACAGTGCCCATGCCTTCCACCTCTATCATTTCTATAGTATATTTCCTATTGCAACGACAGTCTGTGCCACACTTTGGAGAGGTACAACGAGGACAGGGAAAATGGCAGCCAGGACAATCCTTTTCCAGACAATCACAGATGTCTATTGATGTCTCCAAGAAGACTCCTTTGTCGTCATACAGCTGATTTTTTCTTGACCTATGACCAAATCAAGCATGTATTTTTAACTTTAAAACTACTGTAGTGGATTAGTGAACGATTGAAGGCAACACTTTAAATTGATGAAATATAAAATAAAATTGTCAATTTAATAAACAATTTATAAATATTTTGTCACTATTTATTAGTATGTGAATCTTAATCAATAAAATCTGCCAAATATAATTTATCCACATCAGTGGCATCTATAGGTCAGGTGACACCTGGTGTAGTAAGCTGGAGTGTTGTCCCCCCCCCCCCCCCCCCCACCCATTTCTGCAACAACTAAATGTTTTATGTACAGTGACAGTAAAGGCAATGTGGTGTCACCATGTACCTAATGAGGTATAGAACTTTACAAGCTATTAAACTAACTAAAAAATTAGCTATATTATTTTTGGTGTCACCCTCTTGCATGGGTGACTCAGTAGAGTCTGCACACACAAACCCCTGCCCCCTACGCCCACTGCCAGTTCCAAATTCAACAAGTTATTCATCTGGGTCTGTACCTGGACTGAATTTTGAGCTACAAAATATTGACGGTTGGTTAGTATAGTAGCATGACTGTGTAAAAATATAGTCTGAGTTGATGTGGAAATTCAAAGTGAAGGAATGTAAAAATAACTTCACTCACTCTTTAGTGTAGAGGCGCCGATTCATTTTTCTCATTTCTCGTTTTGACTTTTCTGGATCAAAGTCTGCCATAAAAGTGCCATTCTGGTCCAAACTCAATTTTCTTAATTCATGTCTGGTCAACTAATTTAAAAAAAAAAATGTAATCATTGTAAATTACCAACAATGTTTACAAATTTGATATATTATTATTTACCTGCACCCAGGGCAGAAAAATGTTTTTACCTTTCTAAAATTGCTGCTATAACTGGGATGGATAACCAATATAATTCAACTTTAGAAGTAATTTAAAGAAATCGAACTTACTAATACACAATTAAGTGAAAGTAATTCTTTAAATTAATATCTATAAAGAAAAGCTGTTTCTATTGTTTAAATTTTTTTTATTCTAAAAGAAAATTAGAGATAATGCACATTTTTATGTAACATAAATGAAGTGTTACAATGGTTTATCATTTTGTCATATGGGGTGGGATGGTGGTCAAGAGCTTTTTTTTGTTTAATTTTTTTTAACACAACTGCTACTTGTTTTGTGTTTACTTTCCCACCAAAGATCTGCAGAAAAATATCCTAATTAATGTAAAGTAAAGCCTGCATGATGCCTAAAACATGTGATAACACCTACTTCCTCAGGAGCTGTTGATTCATTCCCAGCTGTGCTTGTACTGTTAATGTCTAATCCCAATTTGGAGCTTCGAAAAGATGGCTCATTTTCGGCTGAATCACTAGATTCACTGTCATGAATGGCTATCACTTGTGCATCATTTAGTGAAGATTTACTGCTGCTGTTGGAGTTTGACTTTTCATAATCCATTTTTGAAAGAATAAATGTCAAGCATTCACCAACAATGGATTATAAGCTGTCTTACAATCACGAACTGAAATTTAAAAAGAAATGTAATGTATGTGTGGTGCCTAAGTAAAGTTGTTAAATTTGTTAAGGAACATTTTTATGTAATTGTAGGCCTGAATAAAATAATTATTAGGCCTAAAGTAAAATTTAAAATAATTAAAAAAAGGTAAATTGAGAATTAAATATGCAAACCCAAAATCAAAATTGTAAAATTAGAATATAGGCCTTACTGTAGACTATAGACCTAAGAAAAATCATTAAATTAAAAACAGATCTAGAATCTATTCTATAGGCCTATATATAATATATATATATATATATATATATATATATGTTACGGTCAAAGCCCGAAGTGCGGCCAAACCCCGGATTGGCCGGCCAATGCGCGGATTGGCCAGCTCTCTTGGCCAAAGCCCGAAGAACTTAGAACTAAGATCGTATTTCGTACATTGGCCGGCCAATGCGCGCACTGGCCGGGACGTACTGGCCAAAGTCCGAAGTGCTTAAACTTGACAGCGTATTTTGTACATTGGCCGGCCAATGCGCGCACTGGCCGGGATGTCCTGGCCAATGTTCTATCTAGACTAAGTTGTGATCGCGTTTTCATTATTCTGGGTGTGGTTTCATTGTGAGTAACGTATTGTTTAGCTCTTGTTTGTATAGCATCCATAAGGATGGAAAAAGAGCTCAAGAGAAAGTACAAAAATATCACCAAAGAAATCATTACTATGTATCTTCGGTTGTGCAAGCCTTGTCAGACAAAATTGTCTAAACCCAAGAAAGTTCTTGTTTCCAAACCTTTGATATTTAAAGAATTTAAAGAGATGCCAAGTAGATCTTATTGATATGCAAAGTAACCCAGAAGGCAAATACAAGTTTATACTCAGTTACCAGGATCATTTAACCAAGTTCATATTGTTGCGAGCTTTGGAAACCAAAAGAGCAGAAAAAGTTGCTTACCAGCTGCTGGATATCTTCACGACTATTGGTGCCCCAAGTGTGCTTCAATCCGATAATGGAAGATAATTTGTGAATCAAGTTATTTCTGAACTAAAGAACATGTGGCCTGAACTTAAACTAGTATACGGAAAACCAAGGCATAGCCAAAGCCAAGGTTCAGTCGAACGTGCCAACCTAGATGTTCAAAATATGATGATGACATGGATGCAAACAAATGAATCAGCTCATTGGACTGAGAGTCTCAAATTCATTCAATTTATGAAAAATCGTTCTTTTCATCAAGGAATCCAACAATCATCATACTAAGCCTTGTTTGGATGCAAAGCAAAAGTGGGACTTAGCACTTCAAATCTACCAAGAGAGGCTCTCAATAAAATAGTTACTGAGGAAGATCTTGAGAACATTGAACAAGAAATGGAGGTTGCCATTAATGCAACGACATCCTCAACTAACACATCTGCTGCCAGACCAGTTGCATGACAATAATGTGGCCAACAGATTCTGTATAGTTTGTGAAAAACCTTGTAGTGCAGCTCATTCTTGTGGATCCTGTGGCAACGATGTCCATGCTATTTGTGGAGTACCCAATGAAGCAGACGAAGGGTACGGAGGGAACATTACCTGCAGATTGTGTCACAACAAACAAGACATCATGGAACACAGGTCAGCAGCTCATACTGGCTTGCAAAATCAAGGTGCTAAGATGCTTAAAACATCAAATACAAAATTTAAAGATGGTGAAGTGGGTGACAATGTACGCAGTTGTCATGAGCGTCGAGGGCGGTTTCTACAAATTAGGAACGGAACATGGTGTTCTAAAACAACTGTATGCTAGAAGTGAGTTTTCAATTCTTCACGAAAAACTGCTCTTATTGTCGTCAGTTGGCACTGAGGAAAAATCACTACGAACCATTGCATCTTCACAATCATTGACTGGGGGCCAAGGCTACACTCGCTGCAATTGCACAACCAAGTGCACAACACATCGCTGCAAGTGTAAAAATAACAAGCTGCTATGTAATTCTAAATGCCATAAAAGTTCAACTTGTTCTAACAAATGATCCTTACGCCATTAAAAAACCCAAAATCTGCTCATGATTTTCTAATTCGGACTTTGGCCGGTCGTCCTTAGCCAGATGATCTTCTAATTAAGACTTTGGCCGGTCCACCATGGCCAGTCCGCGGACTGGCCGGCCAAAGGCCGAAATCAAGAGCTATTTCAGACTTTGGCCGGTCCACCATGGCCAGTCTGCGGATTGGCCGGCCAAAGGCCGAAATCAAGCAAAGTTTCGGACTTTGACCGACCTATGGGAGGCGATATTGGCCAATGCGCAGATTGGCCGGCCAATCCTAGCATTGGCCGACTTCGGGCTTTGACCGTAACATATATATAAATATATATATATATATATATATGCCCTATATATATTTATATATATATATACAGATACTATCTCTAATATATCTATTAGATAGATATAGATAGATATAGATATATACAGCCATATAGGCCTATTTATATTTAGGCCCTATACTATATATTTTAAAAAATATATATACGCCTATATATAGGCCCTCTACTCTATATATATATATGGCATGGGCCTATATGTAATTTTTTTCATTTTTTATCATTTTAGGTGGCCCTACGTAAAATCGGCAGAGACTAGTAATGTGAAAAAAGGTGACTCATTAAATTACTAAATTTTAGTAATTATTTCACATTTTTAGGAAGATTTTATCTTTTTAAATTACAAAAATGTTTCAAAGTTTCATTCGTGTACCTGTTTTGAAACAATTGTATTAAAACTTTTCAAAAGGGCCTAATAAATAATAAAGACTACTCTAGAGTACTCTAGAGACTAGGCATTAACTAAACTAATTAGTAATTACTCTTACTATTACTAGATCTATGTATTATGTAAACTACTTACAACTTATTAGATCTACCTAGTCCTACATCTACACCCGAAGACGTCCTAAGAAAGAATTAAGACAAGTTCTGGCCTAAATAAGTCTAAATTCAAATAATTTAGTAAATTACAAAATTAGTAGGCCTAAATTCCTGAATGAAAAATATGTGCATTTATTATAACTATTAACACAGTATGACATATGGGTAATCTATCGTTTTAGGTACGTTAAATCGTCCAAGGCTAGTAATGTCCGAAAAAGTTACCTCATTGTCAAGGCTTTAATAGAAGTATATTGTGAAATATTTGTGTCAAATATTATAGATAAATGAATAATAAACCTAAATCAATGGCTAAATATATCAATATATGCAAGAAATTAACTTTAAACAGCAGTGTTTGCGAGCAGGATTTGCTATATACTATATAAAAAGAGGCCATCTGTAAGTTATAGTGGCTTCCCCTGGATATTGCGCTATAACTCTACTATAAGTTTACAATAAAAAAAAATAAACAAGATGGCTGCTATAGTAAATGAGCATGGTTGCATCTGTTGGAAACATCGCTAGTCTTCATTCATTACTGAAAATTTCTAATTCAATTGTTTAAAAACAGGTACATAAATGAAACAAGGAAACATTTTTGTATTTTTCAAAACATAAATCCTCCTCAAAATGTCTATTAAATGTGAAATAATTATTAAAATTTAAGGAGTCACCTGTTTTTCACATTACTAGTCTACTACTAGATCTAGATCTAGAGTCGCGGGCGATTTTACTTTTACTCTTTTACGTACCTAAAACGATAGATTACCGACGTATAATATGAGTATGCCTTTATTACTTCATCATTCATATCAATTTAATCAATTATCATTCCTTTTATATAAAATTAAAAATTCAGCTTGCGATTGGCCTCACTCTCACTAAGTCACTAACCTAACTCTACCTACTTACTCGTAGATTCTACTCCTCTACCAACTGTCCGCGGCATAGGCCGGCATATCGGCCTAACACTACACTAAACACTTCACTACAGGCCTAACTTATCATAAAATCTAGTTATTCGGTTAATATTTTAACAGGTTGGCTAAAGTAGCTAATTTAGAATAGATTTATGGCATGGAAACTAGAATTTATATCTTTAAAAATCTCAAGCCCAAGACGCCTAAGAACTAAGAAGATTTAGTTATTTTAGGAGGCACTATCGTAACGCATTTCGAAAGTAGAAATAAGTAAAGTCTCATTCCCGAAACAGACCGAAACAAAAATAAAACGCATTAGGCCTAGATTATATTAAGATCTATTCTATCTCTAAAAACCTATACGCCTTTCTATACGAGTATATACTAATATAGATCTAGATATTCTATATCTAATAACAAGCTTTTCAAATGCACTAAAAAAGAAACATTTATTATCTTTAGCTATAATATTTACTAGTATTATATTTATGTAATAAACAATGACCGATGTAGTGTAGGTTACGATGAGAGGGCTGGTATTTCAATTATTCTGGCTGCGGTTTCATGTATTCCTCGACTCGTGTTTGCGTACGTTCAAATGTAGAAAAGATAACTGGTGTGGAAAAAACTAGATCTACGTTCTTTGGTAATTTGAATACAAAACTGCAAGAAAAATCAAATAATTGTTAATTCTCAGTAAAGGCAAGTCAGTGTGCTTTTTAGAGGAAATTAAATAAACAGGCTAAAGCATCGCAGACAAATTTGACTATCGACGACAAAAACATATAACGTTAGTCGTTAGTGAAGTTAAAAGGCGAAGAAAAAAATTACTCTACAAAAGAGCGGACGAAGCTTCTTACCGGCTGTTGGATGTCTCCACAAACATTGGTGGCACAATGCGCGCTTCAACAAAAAGAAATGCGTTGTTTTCATTGAGGAGTTCAGCGGTTGCCATTTGAAGTTTTTGTTTGGCAAAGGTTGGTCGGTCTTAATACTTCAAATCTACCCAGAGCGTTTGTTGATAAGTTAGTTACTGAGGAAGATGTTTAGAACCTTGAACAAAAATGGAGAATATATATGATATACGTGTATAACTCGACTTCCTCAGCTAACAAACCTAGCTGCTGCTGTGGCAGAAAGTCCAGTTCTGTGTAGTGTGTGTGGAAAAAAAATGCAGCCCATTTTTGTCAGAGGCGTATCTATGGGAGGACTGGTGGGGCGACCGCCAAGGGCGCCGAACCTAAGAGGGCGTCAAAATGGGTAGAAACAAATGAAAAAGCTTATTGTAATTTGAAATATTGAATTATACATATCCAAAGTTAAGAAAATAAACGGCTACAAATCTTTACACACTGATTTAACTGATATCTACACTAATTGTGTGGAACAAAAATAAAAACGGTTCGAGACAGTGACTGGTTTCCAACTAGTGGGGGGGGGGGGGGGGGCATATTTATAAGCACGAAAAACTATTGCCTATATATAAATATGACGGGGGGTGGGCGTAAAATCTGATAGTTCGTCCTGGACGCTGGATGGGGTCGCTAAGCATCTGGTTCTTGTGGATCTTGTGACAACGATGGCAACGTAATTCGTGAAAAAAAGTAATGGAACAGACGAAGGGCATGGAGGGAACATTACTTGCAGACTATGCCATAATAACTAAGCAACACATTATGAATAAGAGGTCAGCAGCGCATGCTAGTTTGCAAAACACAATGTGCTAATTAAGCTTTAAAAAAACAAACACGTAAACTCGATGGGGGGCGTGGGGGGGGGGGGGGAGTGCGGTCAGCACTGGATGACACTAAATCGAACAATTGCAAAAATTATTGCCAAATCAGTGTTTTATCCAGTTAACATTATAAAATAGTCGGTGAGAGGTATAGCATTAAAGTTAAAATGCAAAATATATAGATAGACACCCTCATTTCCCGCACTATGGAAAACCCATCATATATTGACGCCAATCACCATATATATATTATATATATATATTATATATATATATATATATATATATATATATATATATATATATATATATATATATATATATATATATATATGGCTTTAAACTCTCCCCTTCCCCGAACACCTGACTCTTACTCACAACCTGTTAGTACCAACATAATATTTAACTAGGCATATAATATTCTAAATATAGACTGAATTGGCCTACTTCGTTTGACCTATTTATTATTATTTGTTATCTTTAGATACAGTTCTTTTTAGAAAAAAAACAGAAGTAATAATATATACTAGATCTAGAATCTAGATCTATGTTACGGAAAAAAATAAGTTATTTTATAAACGTATTTTCAGTATTTAAAAAAAACCCACATAAAATAAAAATATTCGGTAAAACTCTTCCCTCTTTTATATAACTCCGTGTGTGTTGTGTAGACATAAGTGACCAACCACCGTCACTATTAGCCCGTTGTAAATAAACATGGCAGACAACAACAAACAGACATTATCAACAACAAGCAGGATGTTATTTCTGAAAACCCTAATTTTGCTTGTTTTGGTCCAAGCCATTAGCTGTGCAATATTTAAACATAATAATAAATATTCAAAGAAGCAAAAGTTGTACACCATTGAACTTGAAAACAACTTTTTAAAGACACAGAAAAAGGATTTCAAGCCCCACTCAAATTCACAGTCACACCATCATTTGCACACAAGAGATGCTGGTGCAGTTAAGCCAGAAATTCTGTTAAATAGAACTATTTTTAATGGAACTGAAAATTCAACACATGCGTATGTTCACTGGATTGGAAAGGGTGTTAGTGAGGTAGGGTGTCCTTCACAGTGAAGTCTCAACAAAGTCAATAATATTTAAATTTTATTATTTTATTTGGTAATCTATCGCTTTGGGCTTTAGGTATGTAAAATCGTCCGCGACTAGTAATGTGAAAAACAGGTGACTCCTTAAAATTTAATAATTATTTTACGTCTTTAGTAGTATTTATGTTTTGAAATTTACAAAAATGTTTCAAAGTTTCATGTAGGCCTACCTGTTTATAAAAATATAAACAAATGGATTCAAACTTTTCAGTAATAAATGAAGACTAGCGATGTTTTCATCAGATGCAACCATGCTTATTTACTGTAGCAGCCATCTTGTTTAAATTTTTTTGGTAAACTTAGGGGTCATCCATAAATGACGTCACGCTTTTTGGACAATTTTTACCCCCCCCCCCCCCTCACCTCCGCGACACATCGTCACAAAAAGCCAGACCCCCCCCCCCCCTAAAATGACGTCACACCTCAGCCTAAAACCCCCCTCAAAATTGCAGTTGAATTTTTCTTAAAACATCGATATTTTTCCTAAATCTTGTCTGAACTCTGTCAAAATAGAGTATTTTAATCAATTCCTATTGCAATTTTTTAAAACAGTTTTCTAAAACACATTACTTTTTTATAATGCAAAAGTGTGACGTCACAACATCTGAACCCCCCCCCCCCCCCTCCCACTCAGCACACACCGTCACAAAACTATTGATCCCCACCTCAGAGTGTGACGTCATTTATGGACGACCCCTTATAGCGGGAGATTCAGGGGTAGCCACTCTATTTTACAAATGGCTGCTGTTTATATAGCAAATCTTGCTTGCAAACGTCGCTGTTTAAAGTTAATTTCTGGCCTATCTATATATATAATTCTCTTCTGGGAGCCGTTAGAAAACAAGCTGCAAGCGCCTCCTTGCAGTCCCCTCTCTTTCTCTCTATCACTATCACTATCACTACCACCCCCACCCCACCCCCACATTGTCTGGTGAGTTGTGGTCACGCTAACTGTTTACAAAGCTAAATGTTTACAAATCGTAGAGCCGGGTTTCTATTAGGGGCAGATAATTTAGTTCGATTTTAAACTTACAGGAGGTAACTAAGAAATAACTAAGAGGAGGCTGCTTTCACGGGGGGGGGGGGGGGGGGGGGGGTGTAGGGTCGGGGTTAGGTGAAAGGGGGGGGGGGGGGTTAGTGTTTTAAAGCAAATAATTTCAGTGGCAGCATTGGTACTGTCGAATTCACAAATTACGAAATACTGAAAAGTAGAAAATAAAACAACTAAATAGCGGCGTATGATACGCTGCGGGTCGGCTTGTATGGATATATTTAGCCATAGATTTTGGTTTATTATTCAGTTATCTATAATATTAGACACAAATATATCACAATATAGTTCCATGAAAGCCTTGACAATGAGGTGACTTTTTCGTACATTAGACGCGGCCAATTTTATGTACCTAAAGCGATAGATTACCATTTATTTTAATATGTATTAAATAGATTAGACCAAGTTAGATCTAGGTCTAATATTTATATTTATTTAATATTAAATTTAATAATATTGAATAAATCATTTCATGATAAGTTGTCTAAGTTGAAAGTTGCTCACTTTGTTTTTGCAGTTTGTACTCTTCTTCTTCTTCTTTCTTAATTTTTAGTGTTGGAAAGGATTGAGCATTATTTACCAGAGGGTTTGAACTCGAGACTTTTTTTTTCGAATTTAGCCGACTCGACCACGCTTCCATCACAATTAAGTATTACGTGTCAACTGGTTATGCGCCATTTAGGCCATTGACTCCGATTTCAGCCTGCTTTTCTTTTTGGATTTGCTTCCATTGCCTTTGTTTAACCAAGAACAATCTACAAGGCAGCAGTTGTTTGATTTTGGAGTTGTCTCTCCTAGAAGAGTGGCTGTCCCCAGCTAACGAGCCTCATCTGCCCGAGGGTACGAACTCGGGACTTTTCGGTTTAGCAACCATGAGTTTTACCGACTCGACCACGACAACCCCAGTTTGTACTCTTAAAAACTCTTGTAGCAACTAGATCTAGATCTAGTACTATACTAGTATATAGACTAGTATATAGTATAAGCATAGATCTAGATTCTACACTACTTAGATCTACTACTTATTATATTAGAAAATTGATAGCAAATTAAATAGGTTACCACAGGAGGAATAAGCATAAGATTAAGTAGAAAACCTGGTCTTGAAATAATTGATTTAATTAATTTAATCACATTTTTTAATTAAAATTAAACTCTCATAAACATATATGGTGTAGGATTTTGTTTGAATATTGTAAATATGTGTGTATGGCTGATTAATAAGTCCCAAGCTAAAGAGCACTTTACTTTAAGATGACTTGCTTCAAGTTAAAAAGGATGGAAGTAATAGTTTAATATGTGCAAGATACAACCTGACATTACAAAGAAACATAATTAGTAAATTCATGTTGCAGAAATGTTTAATCCAATGTTTTACATTCAATTAAAAGGTGTCATAATACAATAAATGAAATGATTTTTGTACCCCCTTCTCACTTTTTTAACAATCTTAATACGATATGCCTATAATGGTCTACATTATTAATCTAATGAATATTCACCATTTTTATTTATTAATTTTTCAGAGAATTTTTGTTCTCACAATTAGACAAAACTATTCAACATCAGCTCGGCGTGTTGAAGAAAGTAAGCTTTGGAGGTATATATATCAATTTGCACATCCTTTTACATAACTAATTTGCTTTTTATTTTAATTGGCTTTAAATAATTTCTTTATTTCATGCTACATTTGCCAAATGTAGCCTTCATAATATATATTCAAGATTCAGTGTAACTTATGCATGATCTTAATACAGATCTGAGGATTATGGGTCAACTTTCAAAGAGGTCAAGTTGGCAGAAGGAGCAAAAATCTCATACATATATATATTTCCAAAAAATGAGAAAAAGGTAAATCTTTTAATAAAGCTATTTAACACTTACTTTTATAACCAAAATTTTATTATTAAATGTTTTGTTTTTTTTGTTGTTGTTGTTTTATAGTAGTTATTTACAATTTCATTTTCATGACATCTTTGCACCACGCTCACAATGCTTTTTTGTTTAAGAAGATAGCCTCTTTCTAGGAATAGAAGCAATTGCTTTAAGAACAAAGACACAATATAACTTGTAAAACAGAATAAATCTTTCTTATTACAATATCCATTACTTAATTTGTCAAGCTGCTGTTCACTGATGTCATGGCAAAGAAAATTTATGTAACAGAAGATGAGTTACAGACAAACAAATCATATAATGTTGATGTGGAACCTGATGAGATTTTAACACATCCCACTGATGAAAATAAAATCTTGCTCTACAGCCACACACAATTGAAGGTTGGTACTTGGTCTAAAAATACCTTTTTTAGGTTTTTAATAATTTTTTCCACAGTTTTTAAGGGTGTATCAATTTTGTTGTTTTATCAACGAAGATATTGGTAAAAGGTTGTGGTAGAAACTCATGTTAAAACCTTAGTATTAAAAAAACTGCTATCTAGTTTGAATACTTTTTCTTGGTCTAAACATTTTTTGTTTTTCAGTTGTATGCCTCAGTAGACTTTGGTGCTACCTGGACGTTATTGTCAGAAAATGTTCTGCCCAACTTTTTCTGGTCAGTTGGCTACTAGTTACAGATAGCTATTGCATATTTTATGCCCACATGTTGTAAAATTTAACTCTCTTATACTATTACTCACATATAGAATATAGTTCAATCTTGTATGAAATAACAGAAAGGCATATTATCCACATTAAAGATGAGAATACAATACTAAAAATTTTCTTTTAGGCCAATACTCAGTCACACAATGTTGTTTATAACTTATAGTATATTTTATTTTACAAGATTGTAATATTGTTTAAAGTAAAATCTAAATTACAATTCTCATTAAAGGGGTGAAGAAGGCTATGATAGTGACCCCAACACTGTGCACATGGAAGTGAAAGGAGCAAGTAGGTGTTAATTTAATTAACTGTGAAGATCTATTCAGTGGTTAGCTAGCAATAATTAACAACTTATGTTTATTGGTAGAAAATTTATAAATGTGCATATTGATATATTTATTGATTTTCCCTCTGGAATCAGTGCCAAATCAAGCATTTTACAAGTCTTGTCTTGTGCCTGACTGTAAACAAACAGCTAACCAACAACTTGGAGATGTTGGACCTTTCATGATCTGGAGTCTTGTGGTTAATAAAGAGTACATGCTTGTGCAGGTGAGGGCTTGTTTTTCCCATTGCACTTATTGTTAGTGTTGTTTTGAATTAGTGAAGCGTGAAAGTGTGGGCATAAAAATTCTATTGCATTTAAAACTTTACTTTTTCAACACTATTAACTAATCACTATCAATGTTTTAATGTTTATATTCAGCCTCGTTTAGTTAAAATAATTAAACAATCACACTTTTTCTTCTTTGATAGAATTAGCTATTCCTATTTTATTGCTAAGCAAGGTCTTCATCTCAAAAAAACATTTTCCCCAGTTTAATTTATATAGAAATTGAATATTTCAGAAAAGCAACTTGAATGGGTCACAAAGTTACTTGGCTGTTTCATACAAAAGAAAACCTTTTCAAAGAGCTTATTTCCCTAAAGACTTAAAAAGCTCAGTAAGTAAATACAATTGGGTTGTTTTTTTTTTAAATGCAATTCATTTGCCAGTATAAAGTATGTTTATATTATCACATGTCAAAACACACTTGTCATTTTCAATCATAACCAGGACTTTGTAGTGCTGAGCATGGATGATGGCCAGCTGTTTGTTGCTGTTAAACACGATGACTCTGTCAACCTTTATCTGTCTGACGCCACTGGACAATATTTTGTACTGAGCTTGGAGAATGTTTACCATGTTATGAAATTAAATTGGCTTGAAATTGATTTTCACGAGGTACATTTTTTTTTAGCTCTGTTCTTTTATAAGCTATTTTCACTTAATTGACTGTAGTAGTATTTTGCTTTTGTCAACAATGTGAATGCTGCTATTATGCACCCCATCTTCTGTCCCCACTTTATAAACCACTGCACAGAATGGTTCTCCTACAATAAAAAAAAGAATGTGTGTCATTATTTATCCACTATATGCAATTATTCTATTTGCAGAAACTTGTGAAAATAAGATAAAAATTGAAAATAAGATTAAATTTTGAAGTAAATCCAAGGCTGCATTATACAACATTGCTATTTGTCATGCTCGGACCCTTAAAATAAACTTATAAATCACATCACTACTCCATTGATGCTTATATAACATAAGAGCAATACTTGATGAACCATTAATGTTGCTAAAAATAAACAAATTCTAAACTTAAATCAATTTTTTAAGGTACAAGGCATGAATTGGACATTTCTTGTCAACAAAAAACTCACCAAATCAAACAGCACCTGGCAGACTTACATATCATACGATAAAGGAGGGAACTGGGCACCACTGATGGTTAATCAGTCATGCAAAGTGGTAGGCTGTTTTAGATTCAGTCATTTATTCAAACAAAATTAATTAATTTACTTAAACCTTCCTCCATGAAAAAACTGCAAAAAATTGTCACTTAATTTTTAAAATACCTTTTTTTTGGCTAAGAGTAAGATAGTTCATTGTTCAAACAAAAGGGAAATAAATCCAAAAATAATTTAATAAGTATAAGTGCAATGTATACATGTTATTATAATATGTTGAACCGCCTTTAAAATAATGTATACCATGCATCTGAAAAGGTTGAACAGTGTGCACTGAACCTTCAAGTCTCACAGACCAGCTACCTGACCACAGTGTACTCTCAGACTAATGCAATAGGAATTATTCTTGCTCATGGAACCTTGGGTACAAACTTGCCTAATCAAAGAGCTTATGTCTTTACCAGCAATGATGGAGGTGCTAATTGGATTCAGGCTGTTACAGACCAAAAGGTGAAGAGTTTTGTATTCAATACATTTGAAAAAAACCAAACATTATATCATCATATTACAATAACATTTTAAATTCCCAAAACTTTTTTTAAGGTTTTTTTTTCCAAATTTAGTGCAAAAAGCAATTTGGGTATTTAAAAGTACAATATTAATTTTAAAAGTTTTTATAATGTTTTCTATCTTACCTTTGTAGGAGCAGGTCAATGGGACTTTCCGCTTCAACATACTGGACCAGGGAAGTATCCTGACAGCCATCCCAGATGGTTTTCTTTCTGAAACCTACAGCACCACTCTCTAGTAAGTTGTTTATCATGTTGTATTGTTGTTATTTGTTGTATTTGTTAATAAAATATTTTTTTTTACCTCCTAGAGAAGCACCAATATCGCAATCATCACATTTAAACTTTTTTTTGTTCCAGTTACTCAACAGATCAAGGATATACATGGAAAGCAGGTAAATTTGATGACAAGGGATTGCTTGTAAAAGGCGTGCTGACAGAACCAGGTATCATGACAATGGTGGAAAGGTAAACATCTTTATCCCTAGGTTGTTTATGTCCATTTATATCATGATATGTCATATATAATCAAGGTATTTGTAATAAGGATATATTTTCTATTGTAGTAGTTGAGCTCTAAACAGTTAAATTTTTTTATTTCAGTGTTTTTGGTCATGAATCTAAAGGAAAACCATGGACCCTGATCAAAATGAACTTTACAGGGTTGCTGCCAAGGAAATGTGAGGACAAAGATTACACAACTTGGACACCACAAGATTATAATTCCGTGAGTTTTTTCTTAAGGCACAAGCAAAGAAAGCCATTCTGGGCAAAGTTACCTCAACCTTTCCATTCCATCATTTAAGATTTGTAAAAGAAAGCAATGTTTATACCTAGTAAATTAATTAATGCAGTAGGTGTAATTTTAGAAACTCAAACATTTTTGGAATGTCAAAGCAGAGATGATGCCTTTCATATTTTTACAAGATATCTCAGTAGCTCACATCTGGGTGTGAGTAGTTGGGCTTGTGCTTGTAACTCTACTTTGACCAATTTTTAACGCAGCTGTTTCTTTTAAACTTAGCATAGTATTAATAGATATTAATTTTCTGGGACAACTTAAGAATATTGAGTGTTCAGTCTAATTATAATAATTATTTATTAAAGTAGTCATTAAAATTTATTTTAAGATAACTGTATTCAAAAACAAAAGGGGAGATAAGAATAAATAGAAGCTATAACTACCAGCATTTTTATGTGACATGACTTATTTTAAGAACAAACAGAATGGAAAGATTAAATATGGTAGGGCCTACTAATTCAATTACTGATTGAAAAGGTTTCTGGGACTAAATGCATTTATATTTAATATTAAAGTTAAAGAAAACTAATTATAATGAAATTATAATATAGTAAATTAAAGTACCCTTTTAAACCTGATGATCCATGAGGCTGGTGAAGTAGATTTCATCTGTTTTTTAGTGACCTCAGTGAAGGGATTGTGTGGTTAGCACTATGCCCAGCCACCTGTACTTTGCCTAAATTGAATGAGCATTATACTGCCTAAAATTAACAATTACTTAGTGGAAAAAACCTTTTAATTTTTTGGGGAAAGTTGGCTTATCTTTTCAATTTTTTTAGGTTACTGAATAATTAAGAGTGAAGCACAAAAAGTGTCTCAGATTAATTTGGTTGACTGATTATTCATGAAGTTAAATTAAATTTCTGTCTTAGAAAACTGTAAGTAACTGCTCTCTTGGAAGTGTAGTGATATATAAAAGGCGACTAGAAAATGCTTCCTGTTATAATGGCAAGAGTTTTAGTCCTAAAACAGAAAACAAAATATGTCCTTGCACAGCTGAAGATTATGAATGGTAATTATGTTGTTTCCAATTTGTTAAATTTTTATCCATTATCATTAATATGTTATCTCTTAGGTTAACATTCTGTTATATGGTCCAATTATTATTATATCGGTATGACTAATTAGTGTATACCCCCAAAGGTTTTTAAATAGTATTTTGAAGGTACCCTAATGAAAAAGAATGTATATGCTAAATATGGGGATACTTATACTTTTCTGCAGTGACTATGGTTTTGAAGAAATTGATGGTGCTTGTAAAATGGCTTCATGGTACCATGATGGCTATGTACAAGGTGATTGTAATGATGGAGGGAAATACAATAAAAGCAAAGGGTAATTTTTATTCAGTTTTTAAAACTTATATTCAGTTTTCTCATTTTTAAGATAAAATTTATGTTTTACCTTCTAATATTGTTTCAGTACATTTGAAGAAAGTCATAACCATTTGAAATTTTTTTTAAATTAAAAAAAATGTAGATACAGAAAAATACCTGCTGACACCTGTGTAGCAGGAAGTGAAGATGACAAGTATAGTACACAAGTCACAGAATGTCCACTCACTGCTCCAGCACAGCTGACCATATTATCTGAAATGGTTATCTTGCAAACTGGAAAGGAAATCACCTTTTATCTAGAGCAGGCTGAGGTTAGTTTTTCCCTTTATCTATTATATTTTAGGCAAAAGTTGTGTCGTACGTACAGCTGGCAGTCAGTGCTCATACTTGATTGTCCTGTATAAAAATCTAAACAAGAGTAATGATTCCATCCATTTTCACAACTCTAAAGGAGTATAAAAGGAAGATCATGTTCACTTTTTGGCTAAATTCAACAAAAATTCAAATTGTTTTCAATTTTTCAAATATTTGTATATTTAATATCGATTTATCTTTCTGGTTAGTATTATATTTTAGTTCTTTATATTTTCTTTAGCGTCCATATTTACACATAAGCATTTAATTGAAAACAGTATCTATTCTCCACAATCCATAAAAGCTGCTAGCCCTAAATAAATGTCAGCATAAAGATTTGTGACCTGTATATGCCTTTAATGTCTGACACAGGATTATCAGCCAGCGCATGCATGTAGGCCTCCCAGAGGAACCATCTGTAGCTAACAGTAATGTGTACTTGCACTGTAACAAAATTTCATTACAGGGATCCAAGTTCAACACTACTTACAGTTGGAACTTTGGAGATTCATCCCCTGTTGAGAATGCAAAGGGACTAAAAGAGGCCACTCCAAAAAAGCATACTTTTCAGCATCCTGGCCACTATAATGTTACTGTGACAGCCAGAAATGATAAAGGCAGTGTCACAACCTCCACATATGTTCACTGTCAAGGCAAGCTCATTCATTTAATTTAATATTTTTAAAATGTGCAATTTTACACTTTTCTTCTTCTTTCTACATTTTTTTACTCCTATCTAGTGGGTGTTCTAAAAATAGATTCTTCGAGAAAATATCCAATCTCTTTCCATATATAAATATATTAGAAATCAGAAATCAAAATGGGAATAACATGATCTTTAAAGGTTTTAATATCTACCAAAAATTAACTAATAGTAGTAATGACAGCATGTAAATATTATTATTATATTATATTGTTGATTCTAAACAATTTTTTGAACATTTTATTCTTAGACGCTGTTCGTGACACATACATAGTTGCACCCTGGGCCACAAAAACTGGAATAGAAGTTAACTTTACCTTGATTGTCTTCTCCAATATTAAGATAATGGCAGCTAATGAGGAGCATTTGTACTATATTTGGACCTTTGGTGATGAGGTAAAATCAGAATTACAACAGATTTTTAATATTGGCCATGAGTATTTTATGTTATTGCTGAGTGAGTTAATGGATCATCACTGTAATATTTTGTAATAAAAATTTGTTCTGTTCCCCTTAATGGTGGACTTTTATTTATTTCTAGTTCTAGTCTCTCTTTTTTTTTAATAACAGAAACCTGGTAGTCTTCCTTTGTTGACATGGAACAATAGTGTCACTCATATTTTTGAGCGAGCTGGAAACTATAAAGTGACCATTGAGGCATTAAACTCCATCAGTTCTGTTTACAAAGAGTATGAATTCCAAGTCTTTGGTAAGTCATGCTTAATGAGCAATAGCTATAGATAAATGTTTCAAAAACTTAGAAGTTAATGATACATAAGAGTGACTGTGTTCTGTAACCTTACAGATAATGCTGAAATACTTGAATTGACACTTAGTGAAAATGCAGCTATGTATGCTGTTAGTGAACCAATTATGAGGGAAATGTTTACCCAAAGGCTTCGGCAGCTAATAGCTGAGGTAAATATAATCATTTTACAGCTCAGCAATCAATATGAATTTTCAAAGTGCTTTACCATTTGTCCACATTTTTCCTTCATAAAAATATTTTTCAGTATGTAGGCGTAAAGATGAGCCGCATTGAAGCTGTCATAACCAAGCCTTTACCGGTGATTGTTCATCTGTATATTTTCCCATCTTCTGAGCCCGGTGAATTAAATATTTCTGAGGTAGGCTAACATTGTGTCACTTAGTTATGTTTTTTTTTAAAGCATATTTATGAGTTTTAATCCTGTGTCTGCTTTTGGTTTAGATAAAGCAAATTGTGATTGACCAAACTCAGAAAGGTGCCCTCGTCATTGATTTCATAAGAAAGCCGTCTGATCCCTATGTCATCAAGATTACAACTGCTACAGATATCTCTGGTAATTTATTTCTATTATTATAAAAGTTATTACATGCATCTTTATGATAAATAAATTGTTTTTTGAATTGTAAGTATAATTTTAAGTGTTCTTGATAATTGATTAATGTTAATGCTTTCTCTTAAGGTGACAGTCCTGGCCCCAATACACCAAGTACTTCTGGAGGAATAAATATGAAGCCTTTGTTCATAGCTGCACCAATACTGGTTCTTGCTGTTATTGTTTCAATGGTGTCATTCCTGTACTGTCGAAGGTAATAGCCCAATAAATTTATCTACAGAAAGAAACAGTAACACAGTCTACACTAAACCTAGAAAAAAAAACCCACCATAATGAATAGAAATATGTCAGTCTTATCAAAAAATTTAAGAATTATGCATTTTTTGCATTATCCCAGGAAAATGCACAATGTTCGTCAGTACAACATCCTTAATACTCAAGATGATTCTGATGCTATGCTTGATGATGATGAGGCTCCCCTTGATTTGAATGTGGACTTTGGTATCCGCGAAAGTTCAAGAGATGATCAAATTTTAGACAGTAGTGGTAAGAATATAATATAAAGCAGCTGAAGAAATTTTTAAATAGCTGAAGAAAAACTAATTCCACTCAATGAATTTACCATATTAATTGTTTAGCCAAGTGGAAAATGAAAAGAAAATCGTTGTGTAAAATATACTGGCAGCACCAGTCAACAGATTTTTTTTTAAAAGTGCTGTAGTTGCAGCTGTCAAGGAGAATTATGACTTCATTTCAAAAAATTGTGTTCCACTCTAAATGTCTATTCATATACTAATTCTCATATCTTATTTTTCTTAGGAGGCAGCCATCTTGTAATGGTCACTGGGGGATCTTCAGACCACTCAGTTCCATGTTAAAAAAAAGGAACAAAATGTTTACAGACACTGGTAAAAAAAAATTATAAAAGAAACCATTCCAGAAAAACTCATGTTTTTACAGAAGCTTCAGTCAGGTTAATTTAAGAATTAAAATCAAATTTACATTTATAATCTTAAGCTTTATCTCAAGTTTTTTTTAAAAATTGTTTTCAACTACATTTGTTATACAACTTAAAAATGTGTAACACCTTTACTTCTTTCTAGAGGCTTTCTATTTTTTTTTTTGTTAAATTGAATTACCCGCATTACACTTGTACTTTAGTACATTTATGTTCATGCCAGGAAAACAAATTTCCACTCTAGGTAACTAACATTGGAAACCAGAGCCTGTTATTACAGTAATTATGTACGTTATACAGTAGAAAAGATTTGTCACGCTTTTTAAGTTAAAAAGTTGCAAATTCAGCAACCCAACATGTGAAAAATGTTCAATTGATAATCACCAAAAAGGCATCTAAAGGAAAGTGGATGTTTTTTAAACAATTAGTAAAGTTAACTTGTGCATTTCAGTTGTGATAATTGTTTTATAATTTTGTTTAATAATATAATTTATATTCTCTTATATTTATATTAACTGCTCAGTAAATGCATATTCTATTTCTATGCTTTGTGTTGTGATTTATTTCTCTAAAAAAAAATGGTTAACTTTTATATTGGTATAAGTTAAGCAGATAAAATTGATATGATTTCCTGTCTTTAATTCGCTTCCACATTATCACAGTATTGTAAAAAGCTTTTACTTACTTTGCATTTTAAGTGTAGCTAGCATGCTTGGTTTTGGGATTTCATTTTGTTTTAACTTTTAAAAAATGTGGTATGCAATTCTATTTTCAATAGCTTTATTAAGGGTCATCTATAAATGATGGAAACTAGTGAAAATAATCTACCCATTTATAAGAAATGATTTGTGGTTTCTCCTCTGACCTCATTAAAATACCGGTGATTAGTTTCTTAAAGAATTCAAACCAAATGTAATATTTTCAAACCATTTGTCAAAATTAATATCTGCATTGACTAGAAATTGTTATAGATTTTTAGGTTGTACCTCAGTGAGGCAATGAATCTCACTTTGGCTGGTGGCAGGAGCTGGCATTGAATAGTTTTCCTTTGTGATGCAAAAGCACTTTTTCTGTGGTGAATTAAACTTTACTAAAATGACCTTTTAAAGTGGTAGAGCCAAAAAATAAAGGCAAGAAAAATGTTGTCATCTGCCTAACTAGTGCATATTATAAGTTGAGCACAATAACTGCAGATTTTGTCTTTCATGTTGGTATCATGTATCTGTAAATTCGTTGTTAATAATAGTATTAAATAAAGGAAAAAACCCATTGTTTTACAGAAGTTTTGAAATGAATTTATTATCTTAAATTAACTCTCCATGGTCTCTTCAGTATATTTCCCCTTTTCAGCCATTGCCTTAGCTCTGCTCATTGCTTTCCTTTCCAGTATCTTCTTTCTGTCTTTGTCAAGCTTCAACTTCACAATAACAGTCTGGGAGAAACAAAAAAAAACATACATAAGTTTATAATGTTCTCATTGATATGGTCATGTATGCGAAATTGATTACTAAAATGTTGCTAGATCGGTAAGGCCAAAGTCCATTATTCCGGTCTCCGCACCAACTACCCAGCATGTTTGTATGATGTATCCTTAATTACACTGGCCAAGTGCCCACATGGACATTCACCAAACCATAAGGAATAAATAATTCAGGAAAAAACATACCAGACATAGAACTAATATACATCACTTGAAACAAGAGAATTTTTTTTATAAGTCCAGCCAAGGCAAACAAACACTTAAATTATAGGTACTTTTTGCAAGGACATGGGGGTCTCCTATGGAGTAAACATTATGTTGCTAGATCGGTAAGGCCAAAGTCCATTATTCCGGTCTCCGCACCAACTACCCAGCATGTTTGTATGATGTATCCTTAATTACACTGGCCAAGTGCCCACAAGGACATTCACCAAACCATAAGGAATAAATTCAGGAAAAAACATTCCAGACATAGAACTAATATAATATACACCACACAAAACAGGAGAAAAAAATTTCATAACTCCAGCCAAGGTAAGCACTTAAATTATAGGTTCTTTTTGCAACATGAGGTTCTTCTATGTAGTAAAAATTATGTTGCTAGATCGGTAAGGCCAAAGTCCATTATTCCGGTCCCCGCACCAACTACCCAGCATGTCTTTATAATGTATCCTTAATTACACTGGCCGAGTGCCCACATGGACATTAACCAAACCATAAGGAGTAAAAATATCACATACTATTAAAAGCTAAGCAATAGTTGAGAGATCTGGTAGCCCATGCAAATTAAGTAAGGCATTCCCAACAAATAGATGAGCAAGTGTAAAGGCATTTTGTAAATATTGTATGATGGAAGAGTGGGGTGTGTGTGTGTAGGCTACATGTAATGGTGAAAGAAGCTTTATTGAACAGTAAGCATAGTGAGATTGAATTATAATGAAGAAGGTACAGATAAGAATATACAACGGGACAACTGGTAGTACAGGGGAGAATAAGCTTATGTATTAATAGTTCACAATCATCCAACCTAAGTTTGCTTTCTCTGTGAAAGCACACTTGATCCCTAATATTTTAAAGATAATGTTGCTAGATCGGTAAGGCCAAAGTCCATTATTCCGGTCTCCGCACCAACTACCCAGCATGTTTGTATGATGTATCCTTAATTACACTGGCTAAATGCCCAGAAGGACACTAACCAAACCATAAGGAATAATAAGTAAATAAATAAAATTGATACATCACGCACACAGATATTTATACACTCTATAAAAGAAACCATTAAAATTATTTGCATTCAATGTATACCTTGGATGGATGAATGCCAACATGAACAGTGGCTCCATTAGCCTTTTCTCTCTGTATACGCTCAATGTACACAACAAACTTCTTTCTATAAACTTGAACAACTTTTCCCAACTGTTGCCCTTTGTAATGGCCACGTACAACCTAAATAAATAGATTGAAAAAATGAGACCTAAATGTCAGAGACAAGTATGTAGTCATACCAAATAAAAAAAAAAGACAGGCCCTATATACAGTAGATAATGAGTTTAATGTTTAGTAGGCCTATATTATAGGCCCAGAAAAAAATATTTAGCCAACATCTAAATCTATATAGGCCCTACTACTGCTTAACCCCAGCTTTTTTTTTTAAATGTTAACCCAACCATCCACTTATAACCAAACTACAACTGTAGTTGTTACATTTTATTGGTTAGATTAACTAGTAGTTCACACCACAACAACTTTTTATTCTTAGGCTTGCTTTCCAAGCTCATGTGTTCCTGACATATACTAGACTTGAAAATGTAGGTGTAAGTTAATCTAGAATCTAGACCTAAAACATTGAAACAGGAAGGAATGGCAAAGGAAATCATCGCATGTTCCTGATTTTTCTTGGTTTATTTGGTTTTTAATTCTTTTATAAAACGTTTTAGCTTAGGCCTATTTTTTAAGCAGAACTAACTTAAGACTGGAACACTGTTTTTGGCGGGATGATAAGCACGCCTGAATTAAATGAAAACAGAAGGACTTGAAATTGAAGTGGTCATAAATGAACATATGACGTGATAAAAGCTGTGGTTTTGCATGACATCCAATAAAAGTAGCAACATGCAAAAAAACTGCAGGTGTACAGTGTTATCAAGTCTACATTCCCTTAGTTAGTAAATCAGAAACTGAAATAAAATGAATTGCTATTAAAGCCAAGACAAAAAAACTTTATGTAAATAAATTTACCTGAACTTCATCATCTTTTCTAATTGGCATGCTTCTGACATTATATTTAGTACGCAGCTCTTTGGAGAGTGGGGCACTCATGATTTTCCTTCTAATGTGGGAAGGAGCATTGAAGTGGCGAGCCCTGTTTTTTCTTCTGGAACCTGACACAGCTTTGTTGAACTTCATTCTCAGGCCTGGAGATTATAAGTTCACTGTTACCAAAATGACTTTTTTTAAGTAAAAGCACAGACATGTAACTTGATCTGATGATTCAAGTTGAGATAATTTTAATTTTAACACTTTAATGATTTTGCTTTCTGTTACAGAATATTTAGATTCTAAGTGGTCCTTCGCATATTATAAAGCATTGGTAGATTATATCTTAATGCTCTTTTATAATTTAGGCTGCTTCTTAACAGTAAGTCGGCGTAAGGCTAGCAGATTTTTTAGTTCGTGAAATTTCGAGCTTTAATAACATTGCAGAAAACAACTAATTCCAATTTAACAGCTTTCAAAAACAAAATATATAGTTTTTGTCTTGTACGTAACAAAACATTTAACTAGAAAAGCAACTACTAAATTGCAGATTACCCCAAAATATATAAGATAATCAAAGATAGTATTGAAAATTCTACATCACCTACCTTATTTTGTTATGGCCGAAACGTAAAAGAAAGGATATCCGGTTTGCGACGAAGAGAGATCACTCTAGACATACGGCTGTTCGAGGACTTATTACCTCCACCTCCAGACTACGAGTTAGGCCCTAAGCTCTTAATAAGTTAATAATATAGATCTAGAGATCTAGATCTAGACCTAGAAAGGGGAGATCTATAATAAGTTAATAACTATAATAGTAATTATAATAACCTAATCTAGTACATACTGAGTCTATACTGAAATAGTTGTGGAAAACTGGTTAAATACTTATACACCATTAAATACTAATTTTTAGATATAGATCCTAGGCCTAAATAATAGTAATACTAAAATTAATAGGCCTATATTTAAATATTACTACTATATTGCCCTATATACTATATATAGTATAGTATATTATATAGACATAGTAAATAAATAAATAAATGTTTATCAGTAGTGACAGTAGTTTATATTTATAATAATAATAAATAGTATTAAATACAATAAATAGTAGGGCCTATGGCTATATTCCTATATTTAGGGTAAAGGAGGGCGTTAAGAGCCGTGTGGTATTAAGCCCCAATCAACACCCCACCCCCACAAAACCCCCAATAACACTGCTAATCTACTTCTGAGGTAACAACCACTGCTGTTCTTTGATAACAGAGAAGCAGAGGATTCATTTTATGTAATTTATGACCCACTTGGCCCAATAGGGAGAGGATGAGACAGGATTTAATCCCACTGCTCTTTCCCTAAAATTTCTCATCTCCATAAAACCATTTTGTGAACTTTTTTTCCAAATAGACATAACTTGGGAAACTTCACTTTGTAATAAACCAAATGAGTTTTTCAAGCCCATTCTTTGTTCCTGTATTAGAGCATTGGTTGTTGTACATTTTATCACTATTTTTATAGCTATGGCTAGAATAGTTTTATTTTGGTGAATTTTTTTTGCACAGTGATTATTGGTGCCAAAACAAAATGGCCGACATTTGTCCCATTTTAACATGCTATAAAGTTTTTATCATTGTCAGAGTAAAACTTGACTGATCATTACCATAATGGTTTTATTTGTTAGATAATAAGTAAATCTACATGAATACATTAATTTTGTCCACTAGCTTGCCTGTTCAGAACAGTTATAACAGATTCTGTTATGTGGCTCTTGAAACCCTATGTGCAAGTTTCTCATTTATTAGACCACTGAATATGATACTGGTATAGGAATAGTTAACACAAAATGTATTAATTGTTAAACAGACTTGTGTCTAAATGATAGAAATACAATTCTAACCTGCTAAAAAGTAAAAATACAGCCATCTGATGTTAGCCAGGTAATTTTTAAAATGGTACAGGTACTTATTACCCCTAAGAGGCAATACAGCCGACTCAGCCCCCACCTGTTTCTAACCAACCATAAAACTTCTAATCTCTTTGTAAGTAACAGGAATAAATGTTCTTAGGTCTCAGCCAATCTGGGGTGGTATGTTATGTAATTTATGACCCTCATGGTCCAGCAGGGAAGTAAACAGACACATTAATACCACTGCTCCCCCCCTTACAATTTCTCACCCCCATGATACCCAGCCCCCACCTGTATCTAACCCACCATAAAACTTATCTCTTTGTAGGTAGCATGGACTTAGTTCTTAGATCTCAGCCAACCAGAAATAGCATCCCCTTATGTAATTTATGGCCCTCAGGGTCCAGCAAGGAGAACAAAGGGGAAACCAGTACCACTGCTCTCCCCTCAACATTTCTCACCTCCATGTCATGTTATGTAATGTACAGCACACATGGCTTATCAGGGGAAAGCATTAAGGCAGATTAGTTAATACCACCCCTTTTTACATACAAGAATGTTAACTCTGGACAGCTATACACTAGTATACTAGCTACACACTAGGCATACTAATGTGCCTACTGTAAACTACTAGACTGTAGGCCCTATGTAGTATGTACACCTGCAATTGTACCAATTGTAGACTGGGCCCATTGGGGCCTAGTGATAGCTAGTATCAGTTAAAGTGTGTGTACACAGCATTAACTATTTTGGGGTTAGAAATTAATTATTTTTATTGCGGAGTTAGTCTAAACTAGAAGATAATACTTATTGCCCCATTGCCCGGCTCCTTTCACCCCAAATGCTGATTTCGGGGGTATGACAATAAATTGTCAATTAAACCCATTTAAAGTATATTTAATAAACTTTGTTATTATTTTTATATTGTGTAAGATATGTTAGAATAATTTTGCCATATTTTCAATACTAAAAAATTCTTAGATTAGTAGAAATCTTTAAATATGTACAGGTGCTTAAAAGTGTGGCTCTTAACGCCCTCCTTTACCCTATTATTTATCACTTATTCAGTCTAATTTAAGTTTAGTAGGCTAAGTCACTCTAAAGTCACTCTAAAATCTAATTCTAATATTTCTAAGCCAGAATTGAAACTAAGTGTAAGTTGAGTAAGTGTAACAATTGATTTAGTGAATAGCAGTGAGACAGACTCATTCATAAACTTAAACTCAAACAGTAGTCACCGTGTTGTAAATGGGAGAATTATTTGAAACTAACACCAAAATAATTAAGATATTAGCCCCACCCACCCCCCAAATAATCAATATGTATTTAATAGGCCTATAGCCTATAGTATAGCATCATCATCATATGACATATTATATAATATATAGTCATATGTCAAGTTTCCATCCATAAATTGAAGAAAATTCAGATCTAGGCCTAGATCTATATATATTATTATCCTATCTAAAGTCAAGATCTTATTGCTGCCAACGATTAAGGAAATATCATTTAACATGCTTTTGCTCTAATTAAAATCAATACTATATTATTAACTAACACTAACAATAACAATAACTAAGATCATAGAGCCTATGTCTAATGTATTAAAACATTGTTTTATTAATGCCATTTGAACTAAAAAAACAAAAACACGCTAAACCTACTTGACAACCGTGTAGTCTCAATTTCAACTTGCAGCTCTGAAGCAAACCTGAAAAAATAAACACTTTTGAAATAAAACATCTATTTTTTTTAAAATATGAAAAAATGTATGCATATAAATAAAATAAAAGCTAAATAACATTGTTTATTTCCTATTCTGAGACACTATAAACACTTTCATTAAATATAGATGACTGTTGAACAAAGTAAGCACATTGTTTATTTTGTCTTCCTGCATCGGTTTACTAAAAGCACTTTCATAAACAAATTAGTTTTTTAACATGCGTACTAAATGTATATTAGTAAATTATATTCAGTGTCTACTAGGCCTAATTCTCACTAATTATAATTTTCTTTAATTCATTAACCTAATTTGCTTCTAACATTGTGGTTTTCAATCATACTCTAACAGGTATCTTGATTGATGCCATTCTAAATTTAGAGTCAGATGTAGCCTACAACAAAATTACACTTGATTTATCTTCAAATTAAGGCCAAAACGTTTTTGAAACAGCCAGGTAAGATAGCAATTAATAGCTGATCTTGTCCTTTAGAGAGTGTTTTTTGGAGAGTGTTTTTTGGGTAGTTATATAGGCTATAGCTTATATTTAATTATTTATATGTGTGTCTGGTTTATTATTGATCTTTCTATCTAGGTCTATAGAGCTTGTTTTAAAAATAATAAATGTTAGCTTTTATTTTACCTTTCGAGCTCAATGGTGCCTTATCGCAGTTTATTCTTGCAATATTCGTTAATGACATGTTTGGGGCTTACATGATCACAGCTTTGCCTTGGACCAGAGGCGTATCCAGGTTTTCGTTGTAGGGGGAGCGAAAAGAGCAAAAAAAGGCGCCCAATTTTTAACACGTTCTGTATACGTGAATATTATATATATATATATATATATATATATATATATATATATATATATATATATATATATATATATATATATATATATATATATATATATATATATATGATGTAAAAAAAATTGAAAGTATCACTCTGAAGAAATAAGAAAAAAACACACAATGTAGGCCGACAAAACAAAAAAAAATATACACACTACAACCAAAAACAATGATCGTAACACAATCTGTTTTGTAATTCTTGTAAAAAAATTATTTTACATAATAATTCCTGGGAAATTATTTAAGACAAGTGAAATAGGGGAAATAATCACTCTCTTAATATAAATATGTATATATCTACACATTTAATTATAAATGGCAAAACTAATAAATAATTCCTTTAGAATATAATGAAATTGTTTAACAATATTCGAGTTTAAAAAATGTTTTTATCTATAATCAGAATTTAATATATCGTCATCATAAATGCTAAAGTATTACAGCATAATGAAAGTTTTTAAAATCAGAGTTGGTATAATGCCACGCTTTTCGATATTATAGAAAAACACGTGGAATAACAGCCGAAATTTAACTAAATATCGGCTTTTTTTTAGTTCAGATCATATATTGTTAATTAACTATTGCTTCATTTTTACTTTCTCGTATATACGAAGTATAGAGAAAGTATTGTAATCGTGCACACAAAAAATCGAGATTTTTACAAATCTCGACGTTTTACACCTCACCGATACGGAAAAACATAATTTTGCAATCTTGTCCGTATGTCTGTGTGTTTGTGTGTGTGTCTTTGTGTCCGTGTGTAAACACGATTACTTGAGTACCGTTACAGCTAGGTTGATGAAATTTCAAATATAAGTATTTTATCAAAATCGTAGATCCATATCAACTTTTGACCGATTTTCGATAACCGGAAGTGGTACTTTTCCTACTTTGAATTTTTCAAAAGCCTATAACTTGAGTACTATTTCAGATAGATACATGAAATTTCACATGTAAGTAAAAAATCTAATTCTCTACCTTCTGTTAAATTTTGAGTAATTTCCGTTGACTGGAAGTAGTAATTTACGCTACTTTCGATTTCTCAAAAAACTAATGTAAATTTTAGAAGTACTAATAATATTGCGCACTATTATGCGCTTTTTTATTTGGCGTTCACTTGGTGTGCAATTAATTTGTCTACGAGATTTTATTCTATTTTTAAAACTTTAAGTATTTAAAATGGATTAAAAATCATGTCTATAGCCCGAGTTGCCATCCCCTGTTATTTTATATAAGAATAAGAATTTATTTTTTAAAGGTATTTTTTTAACATAGTGATAGGTATATCACACACCTTTTTACTGGTAATTGCAAAAACAATATTCACAGAGTTTTACGTTTAAAAGGTAATTTTCTGGCGGCATGGTACTTTGGTACATCATTACGCGTTTTTCTACATGTACTTAACAGATCAGTTCGGGGTGGGTTGGGGAGGGGGGGGTCAACTTCATTCACCACTGTCAGGTCACTTTAGGTCAATTATCCAACCCAGTGTATACCTAGGTGTGACATTAATGTCGCTCTACACAATTGTGGAGGTGAGGTGTGTGTGTGTGGGGGGGGGGGGGGGGAGATAACCAACTCAGAGTGAACATAGCGTCAGTTTTTAGATGACTGTTCTAAACATACATATATATTACACAAATAAGTAAGTAAGTTACATAAGTAAATTTAAGTAGAGGTGCCACATCAGTTGTATTTGTTTCTGTATTGTAATTTAAAAAAATAATCACACGATTCAAACTGTATATATAAAGTAATTATGTGTGAATGTTTATGTATACCATTTTCTAATTCAATCATTCGTAAGCAAATACATTATACAGTTGCCTTAAACTTAACACCCCTCTTGCCAAGTGGTACTACCCGTAGATGTTTTTTAAACATTGCAATGCATTATAATGGTTAATTTTAGAATGGCAAACTGCTGCAGCTGTTAATACGTGTTGTAAACGTAGACACTACTAGACTAGTACAATAATGCTTAATTGCTGCATGAAAAGAAATCTTGTGATTTATATAGATGTGCCGACCAAAAATATTTTTTTAACAAATATCATTGATTAAAACTTTAAGTTTAAAAAGTTTCCAAAAAGGCGCCACTTTGCTGAAAATGGCCAGAGGGGGAGCGGCCGCTCCCCCTGCTCCCCCCCTGCGTACGCTACTGCCTTGGACCTTCCTATTACACAGTTTCTTCTTTCATGTGCATAAGAATTCATTAGGCTAATAAGAGCTTTCATATTAATACACTATACAGTGTAAGTTCTCTGTTACCTTTGTTTGGCTTATTTAAATTTCTCTACCAATAATATACCAATGAGTAATACTAACAGTTTCCAAAATCATCCAATTAAAAAAACTGTGTAGAGGGGTGTTTACAGTTAAAGATATAATTATTTTTGCATACAAATCATAACAGTTATTTATATTAGTTAGGCCTAGTTGTCTGTATATTTACTTCTAATTCAAATAGTAACATTTTAAAAAAGAAAAAAAGTTAACTTTAAGATTAATGCTCAAATATTACTAAAGTATTGTTTTTATAGATCCACATATTTATCCAGTTGCAACATATGCTATTTTTTAATTGTCTAAAATTTAACTAACTATTAAATTTAAATCTCTTTCCAGATGAAGTTGGGATATTTTTTCTTTCTAATTCTCTTAGCTGTTTTATTACAGCTATTTCAGAGTAAGTATGTTCTGCAGTATTTGTTAACATGTGTTCAATCTAATAAACCTAATTTGTTCTGTTTGTTGATATGTTGCTTGATTTAGCATAAGATGTTTTTATAGGGTGCTTGTTTTTCTATCTTAATTTGGTTTCTAAGTTGTAATTAATACTTTAGCCTGGTACTTGCATTTGATTTCAGAAATATTCAACAGCATCTTTAAAGGGCACTCAGATCTCAGTCTACAATGCCCAAGAGGGAGTTTTATTTTGCCAGGAATGAAGATGTGCCATCCTTGGCTGACATGTCTAGGAATAAAAGAAAATGTCACTGTCATGAACAATGATTTAGGAAAAGGTGCCCAGAAAATTGTAAGTTGTGTTGGCAGATTTTCTTGGGTGTGGGTGTATATATAATATTTGATAATAGTGGACAGTCTTTTGATTGAAAGTTAATGTTAAATTTAATGAAATGAAAGCCTTTAGTATTTAATTAATTTTACCAGGTGAAAGAAGGAATTTGGCTTGGTCATCCAGTTGCAGTTAGCATCTTACAACACAAGGAACATGAAGATGATTTTCAACATAATTTAAAGATGCTTCAGCTCTTTAGCCAAGAGTTGCATGTTGCTCAACTTGTAGGCTGGTGCATGAATGATAACTCTAGATCAGTAATAATTACTGAATTATATCCCCTTGGTGCTGCAGATGCTATACATTCGACTATTATAAATAATTTTCCATTCTTAAACACAATTTATGAAAAATTTAAATTTTGTGTACATTTTGTGAAAATTATCGACATTTTACATTCACACCCTGGAGGGCCGCTTGTTTTATGTGACGCCAATGATCCAAAGAAAGCATTAAGTCAGTTTCTAGTCACAAACAATTTGACATTGGTTCTCAATGACATGGATGCCCTGCCTCAAGTGAACAGGGCCACAGGGGAGCTCATCAAATGTGGTCGTAGAGAACTCATTGGGGACTTTGTTGCACCAGAGCAGTTATGGCCCTTTGATGACCTTCCTTTCAATGACAGCGCCATGCCTAGCTATGATGAAAAAGTTGACATTTGGAAGATTCCGGATGTTTGTAATTACATAATTGGTGATAAGGCAGGCTCCAGTAAACTTCAGTTACAACTTTTTAATATTCATTCACAATGCAAGCAGCTGGACCCTGCAAAAAGACCTTCAGCAAAGCAGGTGTTACATGTGTATAACAGTATTAGTAAAAAATTGAAGTTAGAGGAAACCAATACAAAATCTGATAAACTCATTAGGCATTGATTGAAACAAATTACACTGACTGATTCCATCTGTGTTGTGGAGGCTATGTAATTAAGATTGTTTTATAATATTTTAGCTAAGATTAGAGAAAATTGATTTGTTGTTTTAAAATCCCAAATGGTGCCAATATATTATTATTTATTTGAGGAAAGGTGATGAGACAGATGATAGTGGTATTACTATTACTCTCAGCAAAGGTTTATGGGACTACACTCTTATTTTATAAAATTTATCCGATTATTTCCCCTTGTATTAGGTTTGTATCTCACATGCATTGTATACTTGTACTTTGATAGTTAATGTATGATGTATTTTTATGTTTATAACATTTACACTTGTATTAAGTTGAAACTGTGATGTTTATTATAAAATAATAATTTTATCTAAAGTCTTTATTTTCCATTTGCATTTACACTGCTTAGTCTTTTGTCATACATTTTACGTGTAGGAATGTGGTCTGAAAAAGTGGAAGGGGGTATGATGTTGAAATTGACTGAAATTGATGTCCACTTGTTGAATACAAGATCAGTTTATCAATATTGATCAATATATTTACTATTATTTCTTTTAAAAACATTCAACCTGCATAGAAAATACATATTTAAAAGGCAGTGTAGGACCACGTCATATTATAAATTGATGGTTTTTTAAAGATCTTGTTCCGAAGAAAAATACTTTTTTGTTCATTCAATGTACCTAAAAGTACTAAAATTTAATACTGTAAATGTAAAAATACTTGTAGGCCTAGGCTTATATGTTTTACAACTATTCAGAGCAAGACTTTTACTTGCATTGAAATATTTTTTTAGAATCTTGTTTCAACTTAAAATGTATATTGTAGTTACAATAAAACTACTTAGTTGTAGGTACTCGCTACCAGTGTTTCTTCCAAACTTTTTTCTCCTGGGGGGGGGGGGGGGGGGGGGGGGGGGTGGCACTGGTGAAAGAATATATTTTTAAATATATATTCTGTCTCGTTGGGTGAGGGGGACATATATGTCCCCAGGCGCCGCCCTCAGGGGCGCCAAAATGGGTTGGAAAAATAAAGCTTGAGGGGAGTGCAAATCGAAAGTTTGTCCCCGGGCGCCGGGAAGGGTTGCTACGCCTCGGGGGGGCAGAGCCTGAAAGAAACTGCTCGATACACTACAAAAAGCGCTGTAGCTGTAAGTGAAGTCTGCCTTACACATATTGATCGTTACCTTCCTGTCATTGGTTGTTTAAAAATAAACATAGCGTGGGTGTGCCATGTTTACAAAATTTAAAAAATCGATATTTTAAAAATGTAGACTAATTAGTACGGCAGCTTAAAAATAAATATGATGTTAACTTTCCAAGAAGTAGCCTATGTAATAAACCTGAGTTCCAGGTCCTACAGCTAGACTGCACCCCCCCCCCCCCCCCACCAGTTTACAAATTTAATTCCAAACGACCTTGAACTTTTCTTGTCCGTCAACTTTAATGCACTTGCATTTATTTCAGACCTGATTTTATAACATTGGAAGCTATAGAATGCTCTGGAACACTGTAAATATGCACACATGCTATTTATATTACATTGTTTTCGTGTAAAATTAATTTCAGGCGCCCACTAAAATAGTTTGGTGATCTTGTGCGTCAAACGTCTGCAACTTGAGTTTGTTTACCGAAAATTCTTGCCCGTTTTTTTTTCTCACACCGCCACTTCGTAATGTTGGGAGTAAAAGCGTGGATTGAGGCCAACAGTTGCATCACCAACACCACTTTCGATTGGTTTACTAGCTCGATATTGGAGACAAGCCAAATCGATACAAACGGGGACGGCTGTACGCGTATGTGCTTACGTGCAAGAATAGATGTATACTAGCAGATAAGCCCGTCGTTGGACGATCCAAGTTAATGTGCATTTAAATTTTAATTGGGTGTAAATTTGTAAACCTCTACCAATAACACAATGTCTTATTTTAAACATTGGTTCACTTGTGTAGAAACAAGCTGAAATAAATCATGCACATTTTTAAAGAACAGGCTGTAGTTCTATAATGAAACTTTTTTATCGGTATGTAAGTTAAAAATACTTGTGTGTTATTTTATGATACTACACGCTCACTTATTAACATTTGATAGGCATATTTCGTTGATACATAGATCTATATAACGCGCTGTAAATTGTCAATTTTAAAAAATACACTAGAGTTAAATAAATTAATTTTTCAAAGTTTTGTTTTATATGTTGGTATAGTTTAAAAATAGATCAATGCTGAGCTACAGTACTGGGATATCACGGCCACTTGCTGCACTATTGTATACATGGGGGGAGGGGGAGATATGCGACGCCGCTGCCTTTGGTCTTTCGCCCAATGTGCTGTTGATGACGTCAAACACGATTCGTTTCCTTGAGGAAAAGAATCGTCTTATGCGCGAAGGAAACACAGCGTCAACAGTGCAGTATTTAATCAATAAATCTATGAGCAGACATGCTAATTAATTTTACATTGTAATTAATTAGTTCTTATGAACTGTGGTATCACAAGGCTGGGACTGCGGTCCGCACCGGGTGACACTTTTAGCGGGTGACACCAAATCGAAAAATCGTACAATTTCCTTGCAAAACAATGTTTTATTGTGTTATAGTAATAAAAAGTGAGGGGTAACCAAACAAAAAATGCAACAGTTAGGGGAGGGGTGTGACACTTGTTCAGACTGAATGACCCCCCCCCCCCTCCTACGAAAAGTACAGAAAACCCAGGAGATTTTTATGGTACTGTTTATCGCTGGGGTCACTTGTCTATCGGTGAAACTCCGCATATATCTAAATTCATTAATCACCTGTTAATTCATTTTTAATTAAGCGTTTCGCGTTCCAACAAGTCCCTAACTCAAGCAATATAAATATAATGTATTTGTTTGTTATATAAACAACCCAAGCTGTTGGTCAAGCATTCATTCGTGTACAATTTTTTAAAAAGCGAAGACTCATAGGCATATCGTCATCAACACATGCAATTAGGAAAGTCGTTAATTAAACTGGCTTGATTTAATTACCACCACGAAGGTGATTAATGAACTAAAAAAAAAAACTTGCGTCGTTATATTTTTTTTCTTGCTATTTTATTCCCCCGATGATATTTTGTGACGTACGCTGTCCTTGTTCCAAATGATTGGTGTCAACTCTCGACTAAACTTGGACTGGACGAGAAAATATAACACAGTAATTATCGATATTTTTAGCTAACAAATATAGTGGGGGCGGGGAAAAAAATAGAAGTTGATGTTGATTAAGAGAGCCCGGATCTGTTTATGAACACTAATAAATTCATCACTTAGGCTAATGATGTGTGCTGGTGTAATGATCAAAAGACACACCTTCACCACTTAGGCTAATAATGTGTGCTGATGTAATGGTCAATAGACACACCTTCATCACTTAGGCTAATGATGTGTGCTGATGTAATGATCAACAGACACACTTTCATCACTTAGGCTAATGATGTGTACTGATGTAATGATCAACAGACACACCTTCGTCACTTAGGCTAATGTGTACTAATGTATGTAATGGTCAACAGACACACCTTCGTCACTTAGGCTAATGTGTACTAATGTATGTAATGGTCAACAGACACACCTTCATCACTTAGGCTAATGTGTACTAATGTATGTAATGGTCAACAGACACACCTTCGTCACTTAGGCTAATGTGTACTAATGTATGTAATGGTCAACAGACACACCTTCATCACTTAGGCTAATGTGTACTAATGTATGTAATGATCAACAGACACACCTTCGTCACTTAGGCTAATGTGTACTAATGTATGTAATGGTCAACAGACACACCTTCATCACTTAGGCTAATGTGTACTAATGTATGTAATGGTCAACAGACACACCTTCATCACTTAGGCTAATGTGTACTAATGTATGTAATGGTCAACAGACACACCTTCATCACTTAGGCTAATGTGTACTAATGTATGTAATGGTCAACAGACACACCTTCATCACTTAGGCTAATGTGTACTAATGTATGTAATGGTCAACAGACACACCTTCATCACTTAGGCTAATGTGTACTAATGTATGTAATGGTCAACAGACACACCTTCATCACTTAGGCTAATGTGTACTAATGTATGTAATGGTCAACAGACACACCTTCATCACTTAGACCAATGATGTGTGCTGATGAAATGGTCAACAGACCAGAGGCGTAGCGACCCTTCCCGGCGCCCGGGGACATACTTTTTGATTTGCACCCCCCCCCCCTCAAACTTTCGATTTGCACCCCCCCCCCTCGAGATTTCCATTTGCACCCCCCTCAACCTTTCAATTTATCTTTCCAACCCATTTTGGCACCCCCTAAGGTCGGCGCCCGGGGACATATGTCCGTCCCGCCCCCGCTACTGCAACAGACACACCTTCATTATTTCCTGATTTAGGCTAATGCTGTGTTTAAAAAGTTTCAGTGCTACAGGTACTCCGATCATGTGTCTACATTGTTAATGTTACCCCAGTCCATGTACATGTTAGTGTTACCCCAGTCCGTGTAGGCCTACATTGTGAATGTTACCCCAGTCCATGTAGGCTTACATTGTTGATGTTACCTATGTTCATGTACGTTGCTTGTGTTACCACAGTCCATGTAGTAATATACATTACTAGTGTTACATCAGTTCATGTACATTGTTAGTGTTACCCCAGTTCATGTACATTGTGAATGTTACCCCAGCCCATGCAGGCCTACATTGTTAATGTTACCTATGTTCATGTACGTTGCTTGTGTTACACAAGTTAAACCAAGCGACTAGACGCGGAAAGCAGCTGTTACAAGCACACAGTGACACCCATTGTTGACAAAATATTGACGTTTTAAAAATGAACCAAATTTAAAACGAACCCTCTAGGTATAAGCTTATCACAAAATACCTGTGGTAATTTGAGTAGTTAATGAATAGCCTATAAGCTATCTGAGCATTTTTTAATTAGACTACATATCAGAGGCGTAGCGGGGGGGGGGGGTGCGGAACGCACCGGGTGACACCATTTAGGGGGGTGACACCAAGGCAAAAATATCAAAAGAAATAAAGAAAAATTTGAGGGCTGGGGGTGGGGGGGGGGGTGCAAATTGAAAGTTTGAGGGGCGGGGGTGCAAATTGAAAGTTTGAGGGGGTGGGGGTGCAAATCGAAAATTGCAAGTTTGCCCCCTGGAGGGTCGCTACGCCTCTGGGGGGGGGGGGGGGGGGTGATACCATTAAGTGCCGCACCGGGAGAAACCCGACCTCGCTACGCCACTGCTACATATACATGATATGTGATCAACCGTCGTGACCATATTATTTTTAAAAAAAAACGATGTTAATTCTCACATTACATATGCTATTGCTTTTTCTTTCTTTTTTTTATAATACAAAAGTGTTGGTGTGTTTGTGTTAATTAATAAGTTATAACAATCAAATTTTATTTCAATAGAAGCGTGAAAAGCAAGTTGAGTGACGATTAGGTTTCTTTG